TTTAAAAACATAAACAAATATAGTATTGTTTTTATAGGAGTTGCTACATGGTTATTAAGAGTTAAGTCTACTCGGCTATAGCATTACTTTCTTATTTTTTAAAGCAGGTGCCCATTCGTAGCATATGGCACTCATTAATTATACAGCCGCAAACATTGTCGATAGCTTTGTGTATCAAAAAGGGAGAAAGCAGGCGAGAGTTTTGCTTTTGTTTGCTATTTGCATTATCCGAATTTTCGGCCATCAGATTTATTTTTCAAGACTTTTCGACGCCGCTTTTGGACGATATATTTTTGAATGTTTGAGTGTCTATTTGTGCATGTGCATGAGTTTTATTTTGTGTGCTGTGTGTGTTTATAGTCAATATAATTAATTTATGAAAATTAATAATACTAATTGATTAGTGAATAACAAGGGTACAAGGGTATATTAGTTTTGTGCGAGTGTGCATGGAACACACATGAAGGAGGCGTGGCAGACCCCACAAAGTATATATATTCTTGATCAGGATGACAAGCTGAGTCGATATAGCCATGTCCGTCTGTATGAACGCAAGGATCTCAGAAAGTATAAGATACAGAATAACCAAACTTGGTATCCAGATTCTCCTGAGCCCAAGAAATTACGAGTTTGTTCATTTTTTCTGATGCATTCCCCCTCTATTCGCGATTTCCTATAACTCCCGTAATTCTTGGAATTTTTGTATTCACATCCAGTTAGTTATTATATATATATATTTTTTTTGTGGGGTGGCACACGGTATTTAGGAGTTGAGCCTGCTCGACTTTAGCATTCTTTTCTTGTTTGGTTTTTGGCACGTTTGACACGTTTTACAGCTAACTCAAAACTGATTTCACTTAATAACTTCAATTGAAAATATTAAAACTAACCCAGAAGCATAACATACATACTATAAGCATGTCTGTATGTGTTCAAAGCATACTTAGCTAGACTTTAATAACGCTATTATATTGTACTTGCTTTGGCTGCTAAGGCACGTCTTAGTTCGTCATTTGTCTTAGATAGGAACAAACTATGGCGGCTCTCTAATGCACACTCGCGCACTAAGTATGCTATAAATTTGACACAGTACCTGCCGAAGTGTGTGTAAGTGTGATTGTGTGTGTGCCATCACTATAAACATTAACAGCTTTTACTTAGTTCATGGCAAACGCGATAGCACTCACTTGGGTCGTTGCCATAAACGAGTGATGTCTGGGGCAAGTTGTTGGCATTTTTTCCATGCATATTTTTTACGTTCTTACCACAATTCCTCACAAGCTGCTGTTGTCATTTCAAATATGCGACAGACATACTCACCGGCTGCAGGGGGCTAAACTTTTATGCGAGCTTATAGTGAGAAGTGCGGGGAGATGGGAAAGCTCTGAAATATGTGATGTTATAAAAGGTGACAAAATGTTGACACTAGTTTCGCTTAATAAGTTTCCCGAGTGGTTTCCATCATATTTGTTTAAAGTTTGTCAATGCAACAGAAAAGTGTAGGCAGAGCATTCGCAGCTAAGCCTGGCATACATTTTAAAGCAGCCACATAAAAAGGACTAACAGCTCGACCTAAGATCTAAGAGATACTTAGACCACAGCCTTGTACTACGTAGGTTATGGGCTTGCCCGTTCCTTTTGGGATCGCTCTTCGCTGTGTATGCCAAGCACGATTAACTTAATTTAAAAGCAGGCCACACTCGGGTAAAATCAAATAGAATTAACCCGGGGCGGGCTGCCAGTTATGCATGAAGTCGGAAGAAAATGTTTTCATTATCCAAATAGTTCAGTAATTATGATCAGCATAACAGGAGACGTTAGTATAGACTTGTTTCTTCACTTGTTATGAAGACTGTACCATTTCCTAGGAGATGCAATATTTATTTATTTCAATGGGTTCTCCCTCCCTTCCACTCTATGTAAATCAATTGTGATCTCGAAATGAAATAACGCTGAATAGCTGACCTCCTATTAAAAAATAAACAGATCAGAATAAAAATATGATTTTATGTTTTACTTCATAGCTTTAATTGCATCTTGCTTATATTGCATCTTGCAGAAATCCAGAGTAGTTGCGACATCAATATATGGCCACCCTTTTGGATGTACATATGTAGTTGTAAATTGAATTTATTTATTTTCATTCGCATACGTACGTGTAGATGGAAAATAGGCTTAATAAAACTATTCTCAATAAAATGCTGTACTAAAGTCATACACCAGGCACCTAAGTTCCAATAAATTATCCGTTGCTGACTGACTTTTCATAGTAAGTACCATGTTAAGCAGAGAAGTGCAAGAATCTTTCACCATATTAGAGATTAAACCTTTCCTCTACCTTGGTGGGAATATCTTCAGCTATTCAACAAGTTTTGGAGGTTAAAATTTGTGTTCAGATATACTTCAAATATTTTGATACATACATGTACATACATGGGCTGAACATTTTAAACAATTTACACAATACTTGCAGCTTTGAATGGCAGCTGTCGCAGTCGGTGGCACTGTTGGCACCGTTGGCATTGTATACATAAAAAACACATCTATCACTGTCAGCCTAAATTGGGCGCAACATGCTTTGATTATTCATTCAAAATTGCAGCGCTGATCGGGGCTGTCGCTCCTTTGATAAATGAAATGCAATACATTTCATATCCAAGGTCGACCTCATTATCCAAGTATTAGTAAAATTATTACTGAATTACTTTTTTTCTTCTTTTTTTTTTTGATGCGTGTATTTCTGTAAAAGCGATATGTCCTTTAATGCTAATCAAGAATTTTTGTTAAGTTCTTCACAAATTGAATGAATTCAAATTTCCCTTTTGCCCTTCGGCTACAGGGTGACAAAATAAACAATTGTTGTTATTTTAATTAAATTAAATTTAATACCTAGCAGCTATTATTTCAAACTGCATTTCCATTTCGGAAGCGGGAACAATAAAGATGACTTTTCATTTCTTTGATATCATCATTAAAGACTTTAAATTCTGAAATTTTTACCAAATTCCATCTACAGGGTGCGCCATCTTTTATGTCGGTATGTAGATATTGAATAACTTTGTCATAAGTAAACCGATTGACTTGAGTAGACCAGTGTTCAAAACCTCAGTTCAAGAAATCGTACAGAACCAAATTAAATAAAAATATCTCATACTTGAAAATCGGTTGTTTATTTTCAAAGATATTCAATGTTTGCATACCGATATAAAAGATGGCGCACCCTGTACACATTGCTTAGCATGCAAGCATTTAATAAAAAGGTTGAAAAAAACCTATTCTTACCACAAATATGCGCGATAACTGACAGCTTTTGCGAATTTTGAGTGGCAAGCTCTTGTACGCAATTACGCACAATCGAAACGGTAGCCTGGGCTGGTCTTTGATGTGGGAAGCCGCTACGGTTGTAGCTGCCGTGACTTTGAACTCGAAGCTCGGCATAAATAAATAACAAAGTACGGGTGAGGGGAAACAGTTTTGCGAAACATTATGGTTAAAGGCTTTAAGGCTCATTTGGAGCACTTGTGCTGCAATTTCAGTAAAGCTAATGAAAAGAAAACAGGGCAGGTGTGTGCTGTACAAGTAGTTGTAAAATTAAAAAAGTACATTAAAAATTAATTTAAATGTTTAAATGAATGCACACGACGCCTTCAAGGTGGCACGATAATTGAGCGTGTCGCAGGATGTGGGCTGCTAGGCTGCTAGGTTGCTTGCCTACCTGCCAGTCAGGCTACCTGCCTTTCGGAGCCTTTCAATGCCTCTTTAAATGTGAGCAATTGTTGGGCAGTAACATTTTTATTGACTGACTGAAGCAAATTCTCTAGCTTGGAGGCCATGTGGTTTTAATTAACTTTTTCTGTTGCCATGGTTGGAACTTTGGTTTCGTCGCCTATAGCAAGCTATATTAATTAGCCTGGAATTTAAGGCACACAATAATTTCCATTCGCTTGATTGCCTTGAATGCTAAAGTTTGTACAAAGAAAATTTTGCTATTTAGCTTGGCAAATTGGGAATTGAGGAAAACTTCAAACGTGCATGAATTTGAAAATGAAAAGGATGAAATATTTATTTTTTCGCACGCACCACATGACGTATGATTGATGTGCGTAATTTTCACATTTGATTAAATATTTAAAAAATATCGTGCCAATACACCAGCAACTAGATGCTCAGACTTCGACTTAAAGTACTTAAATTAAAGAAATTGTAGAGAAGACGTTGAGAGGTCTTGCGCCCTCAATATCAAATGAATCAAGCCATGACCATGAGCACCGAAAACTTTCCACATTAAATGACCAGAAATAATGTGAAGCCAATGCGAATTCCAATGCTGTTTGAGCTCAGATGTTTTTGTTGTTGTGGTTCTCAAAGCAATTGATTTTTGTTGTCAGCTGCACGGTTAGCTGAGGGACACAAAGCCAGTCAGCCAGACATTGAACGGCTGCAAACTTGACAAGTCCTGCGGCTGCCGTTGTTACGAGTAGCTGCTGTTTGTTGTTATTGTTTGTTGGTTGCTGCTGCTGCGGCTTAAGTTTGTCGACAAATTGAAAACTTTGTTAGTAAACTTAGCTGCGCATGAGAAAAAGAACACACAAAAAAACCAAACGATATGCTCATCAATGCAGCCAATACGCCCACTATATCTCCCCCTTCCCCCGCCGTCCAAAAGCTGCTGATGGCGAAGCAAACAACACGCAAACAAACTGAGAGTTTGGTTGTTGTTATTTGTAAATTTGATGCTGCGGGTGCTGGTGCTGAAGACTGCCTCCTAGCTCTGACTAAATTTCGTATCCCTGCGGACTTGGAAGTAGGAGTACCAGCTGCTTGAAATGACTTAAGCACTCGTGTAAGACAGTTTTCAGATTCGACGAAAGTGATTTTCAGCGATTTTAAGTCGAAAATAAGACTAAGCACAAAGTATATTTTAAACCGAAAAGGTGTCTAAAGAATTTCGTAACAAGTTCACTGAATAGTTTAGTTCAATCAATAAATAAATAGAGACGTTTTTTGTCAAACATGTTGTTACCAAAGTAGTGAAAGAAGATTTTGATAAAGTCTTTGGTAAAGTACGTTAAATTTGTTTAAGTTTGCATAAGTGTTGTAATGTTGTAGTTGATAATGGCCAGAAAAAATATTTGATAATTATGGCCAAAAGGGAATGTTGTGCTTTAAAACTGGTGCTAAATAAAAACTTTTTAGTTGCTTGAAGAGGTATAGCATACTCCAAAAATCGACCTTGGCTTGCTATGTACATCGACGCGTTGGAGTTCTTCTTCCAACTGCACATCAGTGCTTGAGAATGGAGAAGAGCAGGTGATGTGAGCGAAGCGCGGCTGCATCACTTTTATGGCTGCCACACGTTCCCGCCACATATGCCAAAAGTGCTGCAAATAGGAAACTGCAAATAACTTAATGGCATTAGCTGTGATACTATTTGCCAACCTGTTTGTAGACATGCCCACCAAATTCAAAGATCATGGGCTTCTCCTGCATTTCCAAATTCTGCACATTGATTATCATGATGTAGCGCTGGCCTTTGCGAAAAAAATTAAAACGAATGAACTGTAGAGGCATCATGCTGACCAATTCGAAGCATTCGATCTCTGGATCAAGACCCAGGCTATGCCAACGGGGCTCGCAGCATTGCTCGCCGTGCTTGTAGAAATTGTCACAGCCAAACACGATCCTGGTGCAGGTCAGTGCTATGTGGTATTGGCGCACTCCGATGCCCTTGGCATCAACTAGCGTAAATGGATTCTCGACTAATACTGGCTCGTAGATCTCATCGAATTCACTGAGCAAAAGCTTCTGCACTCGAAACATGTGCTCGGGCAAAAGCTGCGATCTAGGATATAATAATCAAAGCTCATATGAATTTCGTCTTCATTCGGTTATATATTCATGCTTACGGACTTTCTGTTTTCAGCATTGACTTTAGTCACAATGCCTTCTGTTAGACCAATAATTACAAGTTACATAAACATTCATAACATTCGGATGATGCTGCTTCACTAAATAAAAATAGTCCATTATATAAACCGACTCCAATATATTTTAGAAATTATAGTGTAATTGAAATTCCTGAATACTGATAGTATGAGAGTGACCGAGAGATTGAAATATTATGTCTCGCATTTAGCTTCAAGATCAAAAGTTTGTTATTGTTAGCAAGTTGTGCATCCAGACAAAATAGTGTTTTGTTGGTCGACAAGGAATATAAATGCTAAGACGACTTTAGAGGGCAGGGGAGTCTACATCGCCAATAATAGGTAACTTTAGGTTAACTGTACATATAGAAATGTCAAAATCGAATCTTAATCAGTATGTTCAGCGCTTTATGAGATGTTTAAGGAGCCATGTAATTGCGCGAGATTTAAATTAAAGTAGCGTTTTCAACTTCATGCCTTTGAATAAAAGTGCCTCTGAATGAGTTCAGCTGAAGATAGTTGCTATGACAGTCATTGCTGCGCTGGAAGATTGCCCTGATGAGAACAATCATGTAGATGGCTGCTCGAGAAGTTGAGCAAGTGCACGTACTTTGTCAACTGCCAATGTCAACACCAACTGCGACTAAGTGCCGGCGCGTAGTTACTTGTTACAACTTTGGCAAGTCGTCGTCATAGTCTAGCCAACTGGACCCATAATCTTGGCTTATTCAAGCACTTTTCTTGCACTGTCCTTGCTAGCACTTTGAAATATTCTGATTTATGGCAGCTTGCGGGCTCCGACAGTCACCGCGGCAACTTGTTGTCGCTACCCTAGTAGGTGGGCACGACAAATTATATGGCAGAACTCCGAGCAGCAGAAACTGCAGTGCATGCCGTAAAATGTGGGCGCTGTGTGCTATTTAATTTGGCAACACTTGGAAATTGTTACACTTGGATAAATTGTGGGGTGCTGAGGAGAACCTGCGGTACCTTTTCCTTTGTGTGTCAAGTGCCATCTTTACAGCAATTCGGAGCAATTAATTTTCACAAATTGCAATGTGTATGGGGCAACATTCCTCGACTACGTTGCACTACTGTCTGTGTTAGCGAGAGCATATCTAATTTGTGATAAATAGTATTGCATACTTTGCGGCTGCGGCTTCTTCATGCTTCAATAAAGGATAACCCTTTCTTCTTTGATTTGACAAGATTTGTAATTAATATTGTCAAATATATAACGAATATTGTATAATGTTGTAGAAATCGTGGTGGTGATTTCTTATATATGAGCATTAAAAACTTGAAAGCTCTTTAATTACGCCAGTTCTTTTAGTCAGTTTTTTGAACCAATGGGTTAAAATATGCATTGCGATCGAACTCAATAGCTGTGTAGCTCAAAAAATGTTTTGTTCGTTCGAACAGTGGCCAATGCAGTCACACTTTTCACTGAGTATTCCCATTATTCTTTTTTACATTCGACCGAAAATATATTTCAAAAGTGGTGAAAATTATAAATATTTTTGTTAGATGTCTAGATCAGTATCTCCCACACCGTACGACAATTAAATGTTGCAATCACCCACATGCACTTGTCCATTAATGAGTAGGTAGGTTGTGATTAATAGGTACGGGCATGCTCATATAAACGTAGGGACAGCAGTATGTATATTTGCGTTATCGGCCTTTTGCATGTGGAATTAATTAAAATTTCTCGCTCGGCAGATTTATGCGGTAACAATTAATTGTATAGGTTCTCAAGCATGACAACAATGGCAATTAGTAGTGTTAGTCGAGCAAAATCGATTCAAGACACAGGCCGAAATTAGACTAAATTTGTTGTCACATAAACGCGTTGAGCATAAATTCGCACACACACACGCACACTAGTGGCGATAATGTGTGTGTGGTCTGACTATTAATTTTGGCAAATTGCGCACGTTGCTTTAATTTCGAACCAGAAATTATCGCCATAAAGCTATTTTATTTGTCAGCCCAAACTCACAAAGAGTGTGTTTGTGTGTTTGAGGCGTATGTACATGCATGTGTAGGTGTAGGTGTAGGTGTGGGTGTAAGTTTATTCCAACTATTGTTTTCAAGTGGGCCATACATAGACGCATAAGCTTAAGTGCCTCCTCTTCAAAATGACCGCAAATGCATTTGTGGCAAGTACTGTGCCGATTCCCTCTTCCCCCTACCTCACATTCCCTTTGAGCTCGGTGTACACCTCAATTGTGCTTGAGCGCTAACGGAGTGCAGCAATTAAGTAAAAGTTTCATCCACATATACACATCCACACATCTAGTACACACCGAATGCTCGAGTGCACCAGAGCACATTCCCAACAATTGCTATATGTGTTTGTAGGTATTTGTATGGGTATGTACGAGTATGTGTGTGTGCACATTCGTTGGTGCTTTGTGTTTGTTTTTGTGCACTTTATTACCGCTTTGCGCTTTTCATTACAAGCGTTTCATATCTTATTGTTAAATGCACCGTGGCATAAAACAAACAAAGAGCGAAAATGAATTCATAAGAGCATATACTTGTATATTATATATTTATGTTGACAAACACTTACATATAATTTCAGGCTACTTGTAGCCTCATTATGTTGAAATTCATCATTATTTCTACCGAAAGTATAGTCAATTAGAAGCCGAAATGTGTGGCTTAAATATTGCAGCAAAAAATTAATTGAATGTTATTTAGTTTAAAATCTGTGAATATAGTTTTAATTCAACAATTAAGTAAATAAATTGATTGGAAGTGGTAATTAAGATTTTTAAAAGAGCTTCTATGCCACCCATTCTTTTTGTATTGTAGTTGGCCCCCAGAAGTCATATTGAGGAGCCCACATAGAATCCATTCCTCAATTTAAAGAGTTGCATCTTTCAGAACCTTGCAACGATGCTCTGGCCCGGGTATGCTCGCCAGCCTGACTGTGCTGTAATTTATTTGGGGCACCCCAAAGGTAATGCGATGTCGGATTGCTCTAACAAGCGGCTAAGGGCAAAGTGCATACGTTTATTGTGCCTTTAGTGCCAAACTAACTAGCGTCTGTTTTCCTAAACTCCATTTTTTCGCTAACAATTACACTTACATCTTCCTTTGTAAGGGTCACCAGGGCGTCGTTACAATCTATGCATTAATCAAGTTGGCTAATATGGCCGTAGAGATATTGGCTACAGTGGGCTTTAAACAGCGATTTTGAAAGGTCAAATAATCAAAATTTGTAAAACAGACTTATTTTTATAAAAGAAATATATATGGCTATGATCTCAAAATAGATCAGATATATTGAAACAAAGAGAAAGTGACATTTTATTTCTTGAAAATTATTATTATTCATACTTAATTATGATAACAAAAATAAATCAGCCTTATCCATCGGATTAAATATTATATATACTCCACAACGTATGCCATTTTTAATCAAATTGTAGAGTCGAGCGTCTGTATCAACGCAAACTGTTTTCTGAATTTGTTATAAAAATACTCGTATATGTTAGACACACCGGATATGCTTTTGCACCCCATTGATTCGCACATGATTCTCACACTTCAGTCAAAGCATGTTATGTGATCCTTTTACCCCTTCGCTTGCCTCTTGCCATTTTCAAAGTGATGCCCCTCTTTAGTGAGGTTTTTTTCTACATATCTCACATTAATTAAGGACACCCACTCCTACTACTTACATATCGTACACAGAGATTTTACTTTGTCAAAGGAAACTTACTGGCTCACACTTACTTAGTGCACTTAGTCTGCCTGACCTTCTAACAAAGAAAAAGTTAATTTTTTCCTCTCTCAGATATTTAACTGATGTTCCTCTTCATTTCCGCTATGTAATAAAATCGCATTCAGTTACATTTGTGCGCTCAATTGAAGTGCACCGACGGATGGAATTTGCAAAAAAAGCAGAGGAAAAGGAGGAGGACGAGGATACAACGGCAGCAATACTCGTACAGCAATGCGCTGCAGTTGGCATGCAGATGTTGTATTAAGTGGCAAGCGCATAAAAAGGCACATGCCATGCCGAAGTGTGGGAGCGCTGGGCGTGACTCACAACACTGATGGATGCACTAAAGCGTACTTGCTGTCTGTGTGTCTATTCGAAGCATTTCGTTTTATTTTTATTTTGGCAGTCATACGCATACTATAAAAACAACGCAACTATTCACACTCTTTATCTTTAAAAGCTGACACGCGCATATAAAGACATGCCACATACAGTTACTTACTCACACACACGAACACATTCACGTACTCAAATTTTGCATTTGGCGAGTGCCTTATCGCACATCTTAACCAAATAGGAACCGACACATTTGCACAATTGCTTATAACTGAAACGTAACATCGGAGAGAGGGAGTGATGCGAAGAGATAGCAGAGAAAGAGAGAGAGAGAGAGAGAGAGAGAGAGAGGGAGTTAAAAACTAAGACAGGGACAAAGAGATGGTCACAGCAGCAGCACCGGCAAAAACTATGGCAAACTTACTTGGATCATCATGTCTGTATTCAAATGTCCCGCTTGTGGTAAGCTACTCACTCTTATCTGATTTACCGCTTCCCCTCTCCTGGAAGGTCCTTGTGTGTGAGTATACGATTATGCAGGTATGTGGTTGGGCACAATCTTTGCATTTCAAGTAGATTTATTTCATATGCCGGCTAACTTTTTTCTAAGGTACAAAATACCAGTGTATGTACGTACACTATGTGTGTGTGTGGTTACACGTTGTGCGTACGTGTTTATAAGATGATTTTTTGCCGGAAGTTCTTCCATTTTTGCATAGCGGAAGTATTTGTATAACTGACTGTTGTGAATATAATTCAAATCATATGCTAAAACTTGGACGTCCGTTGCCTGTTGAATGCAGCAGCTTAAAATTATTCCT